CTGGGGCCGGCGCGCTGGCGGGCTTGCGGGCCCAGTCTCTCTGCTCTCGGAAGCTGGCTGTCCCCTAGTGGGCGAGCTACCCTCACTGTCTCCTCCCCGATCCCCTGGGAAGCCAGCTCGGCGGGGCCGACTGCGCGTCGGCCTAGGTGCTGAACAAAGAGATGGTGAATAAACACTGCCTAGAAGCCTATGCGTGCCTCAGAGGAGGGCGGGTCAGACAAAGACCCCAGCAGTCGGGCGGGGCTTCGGGGTCAAGTATGATAATTCAGGTGGCCGCAGCCGGCCCAGGGTGCCTCTCATCCTGCGCACCTACCTGGAGCCTCGTCCGCGATTCATCATCTCCCCGTTGTTTCAGGGAAGCTGCCTTACTCTCCCTTCCACCCCTGTTCCAGCCTCTCCGCCCCCCATTCTCCCTTGGCCTGGCGTCCACGCCGGCAACCGACTGGCCGCTGACAGTGAGCTGCCCAGAGCCCCAACCCAGACCTCCCCCCCCCCCCGCCAAGCCCCGCTGCAACTGGAAGGAACGGAAGGCAACAGGCAGCGACCAAGGCTTGCAAGTGTCTATATGTACTTTATTCACACAGAGTGTTGTCACCTCTCGAGACCATGCGTCAGAGCGAGTCTGTGGCCCCACTGCCCCTCCTTAGGGCCCAAGACCACCCGACTGAGGACGCTCCCCCAGGGGACACCCGGGTCTCGGCAGGGCTGGGCTTTTTTGTTTTTAATAATAAATAAAAACTCAACTCTAAAAAATATATATATATATATAAAAACTGGGGAGAAATTAAGTTCTACGACAGTTGGAACTCAAAATTCCAAAATGGAAAATACACAAACTGAAAATCTAGGTACCTACCCACCCCCCCAGCTCTGGCCTCGAGGAAGGGGAGTCCCCAGCGCCACCCTAGTCCCCGAGCTCGGGGTTCCTTCCCTCTCATCTGCTGCAGGTCCTGAATAGGGATAGGGCAGGGTTTGGTTTTTGGTCAGAAGCCAGGAGGGTGGAGAGAAAAATGAAGGAATGATACCAACTTGTCTGAAGAGGACAGACGAGAACAACTCAAATAAATAACATCTGGGTTAAGACTATGTCATTAGCAAATTTAGTTCTTATATGTTTTGCTCTATTTATATCTCTATACACAGGCGGGCTGGGGTGCAGGATAGATTCTGAATTTATAGTTACACGAAGAAAAAAAATATTCTCGCCCCTCCCCCACCCTGCCCCAAGAATGCCTGCCCAACCCTGCCCCCAACCCAGAGGACTTTGGTTTGGGGGCCCACTCCCCACCTAGAGAGCACCTACCGGACCCTGGGCCAGCCTGGCTCGGCTCTGGTGGTGGACAGCCCAGTGTCCTTAAGCCCCCAAATTCCTGTGCAGTCACCACCATGGAAGCCACAGGTGGCGGGGAAGGGGGCGGGAAGGGACCAGGAGGGCGGAAGTTGTAGGCCAGGAGACCGAGGGTAAGAGAGAGCAGGGTAAGGAGAAAGGGGCAGCCGCGCTGGGCCCAGACCAGGGCTAGGCTGAGCGCAGGAGCCCCAGCAAGGCAGCTCACCCGGGGAGGGCGGCTTGTGCTCTCGGGCCGGCCGGGAGGGGCAGTGTCACTTGGCTCCAGGAAACAGAAGGCACTTTCTTGGGGCTGATCCGCGGCTGGTGGTGGGTGGCGCAGTGCCCACCGAACTGGCCACGAGGCGGGGGAGGGGGGTGGCTAGAGGCGCCCTTCCTGCAGCCCCTCTGCCCTGGCTGCGCCCTCAGGCCGAGGGCCTGGGTGGGGGAAATGGGGGTTCCAGGGCTGGGGCGGGCATGGGCGGAGCCTGGCATGCTACCTCCGCGGCTGGGGCGTTCCCTCCCCCCCACCCCCTGCGTGCTCCCCTGACCCCGCGCACCTGGGCAGGCTCTGTCCCCACCCTTGGTCCTTTGGTGCCCAGGTGCTATAGCACGCCCTCCATGAAGCTGGTGTCCAGGTGCTGGATGAGCACCCGCAGGAAGGACATCTCCTTGCGAGTGTTCTCGAAGATGACGCGCGGGTCGTCCGAGCGGCAGCGCAGGCAGTTGGGCGCCATCACCATGGCCAGGTTGCTGACGTCCATCTTGGTGATGGCCACGTTGGCCGGCTGCACGAACACCTGCACGGGGGAGCCGGCGGTGGGCCCAAGCGGGTCTGGAGGGGCAGGCCCGGGCTGCGGTGGAGCTGGGGGCAGGGCCCGCCGCCTACCTGGAGGAAGCGGATGAGGTAGCACAGCACCAGGCGGTTGATTCGGGGCAACGCGTGCACCACGGCCACGGCGGCCTCGGGGCTCTCGTAGTGAGAAATGCACTGCTCATAGAACTCGTGCGGGATCAGGGGTTCCTCCAGCTCCCGGTACCACAGCTTCAGGAGTGATGCTGGGAACACAGCGTGGACGCTCAGCTGGCTTGCTGGGCAGGCACCTCTGGGCAGGGCGTGGGGCACCTGCTGGGCTGCAGCAAGGGTGGACAGGGGCTGGGGGTGGGGGCAGTGTGCAAGGGTAGCAGGTGAGAAGGGATGCTGGACAGGACCAGACGGTAAAGTGTCCACCCAGCAATGCGGGCTGTGCCAACCCTGAAGCCAACAAGCTTATGGTCCTGAGGGCCTGGACTGATGCTGGAGTGCTGCGAGATTGTTTCTGGAGGAACGTGCAAGTGTGCAAAATGCAATTTCTCAAAAGGCTGTGCAGCCGCTGTGAGCAGCCAAGCTGCAAAGAGGTGCCAAGGGAGGCCTGTCATACAGGCAGGTGCTGGAAAAGGACCAAGGGGCTGTCCCTTCACTACGGAAAGCAGGAAGGGCTGAACTGTTCACACTGCCTGAGCCAGACTCGCTGCTGCTGAGAGGGCTGGGACCTCACCTGGGACATGAGGGTCCTCCAGGCCTGTTGGCACCTTCCACTGATCCACCTGTAGCTTCAGGGCGTTCACCTCATCAATGTCCCCAGGGACTCTGCGAGCACATGGCAGGTCTCAGGCTTGCTTGGGGTCAGGGTCATTTGGCTCCTCTCTGGGTCAGGTGTGGCTGAGGTCCCCTGCCCCAGGCACCCAAGCCACCATCCTTCACCCCTCTGCTGACTGCCCCCATGCAAATCTTCTGAATGGTCCCTGAGGTCCAAACCCACGAGCCGGTTTCCCCAGCTGTCCCTCTGGGTCTTGCAGTGGTGGGGAGGTCTATGACAGTAGGTGACCAGCCACACTCCCCCACAGCCCCGGCAGGGCCATCATCTCCACTCACAGCTGAGGACGGGCTGGGGGTTGCTGATCTTTCCAGGCCTTGCCCATGGTTGCTGTCTGAGTGCCCTCTGGGCCCCTGGTGACCATTTCTGCAGGGGCACTGTCCCCTGGCTGGCTCACTTGCTGGGGTTCAGGTGTGCTGCTGTTCAGGGCGGACAGCCCTGCTGACCTTCCTCCTAACGCTGGGGCCATTTGCTCCAAGGTGCCCCTCCCTCCCTGCATGCTGGCTTCTCGTGGGGCCTCTGGCTGCTCTGAGGTAGGGGCATGGGTCTCCTAGCCCCACTGCCCAGGGCTGGGGCATGGAAGTAGGCCCAGTGGGCTTGCTGCCTGATGGCCCCTGCCTGCCTGGGACACATGGTGAAAACACCGAGGCCCCCACACCCAGGGCCCAGGTGGCGGGGCACCTGAAGATGCCTTCCGTCTGGTCACCGTTGAGTGCGAGCACCTCCTCAGACAACCGAGTCTGTACCCAGGGCAGCTGCCGGTCAGGGTAGCGCTCTTTCTGCAGACTCATGACCTCTTGCAGCGCGCTGCCAAACATGGAGGGGCTGAACACGGCGTTCTTGGCATGCCGAATCTCCTCCACGTTGGGCTTCTTCAGCCCCTGCAAAGGCAGCCCAGCTCTCTGTCCCAGTGTGGCCCTGCTCCCAGCCCTCCTGCCCCTATGCCCTTCCGAGGGCTGCCCTGGCTCACCAGTCCTCACCTCTCCCTTTGTCCTCTTGTCCCTGTGAACTCCAGGCCTCTGCCTAGCCAGAGCTGGGGCACCCCAATTCCCTGACCCCCGAGTCACTAGGGGGCCACTTCAAGCAGCACCCTCCCCACTGTGAGCCATTAACTGCCTCCCCACCCCCTGCTCCCAAACATGCAGCCCCCGCCTCCCTTCAGACCCTGTCTGGGTGACACTGGCACAGGCCCCTCGCCCACCTCTACCTGCTGTCCTGGAGGAGTTCATACCTTCTTGGCCCCGGTTAGGGCTGCCTTCTGCAGCTTGTGGTAACAGTACTTGGCGTATGTGCTTATAGCCACCCCTGGAAAAGAATAGTGCCAGTTGGCTTGGTGTGGATGTGCAGGAAGCAGGGGCTGCGGGCCCACCAGTGACTAAGAGAGGAAGCAGCAAGAGGGTGAGGAAAGGCAGCTCCTGCAAGAACCCTGGGGATCCAAGCCGGCCTGGCCAGGCTCCTGCCCACTGCTTGTCCAGGGCAATGGGTCCTCACTCTCCTGAGCTGTCCTTTAGTGTTAATACCCACATGGAAAAGCACTTCCAGAGCAGCCAGGCTAAAGGAACTCCTCTGCCAGCCCACCTAATCCTCCCCATGGCCAAGAAAGGCAGGGCCTGGGCCCCAGGGCTTTCAAACCCCATGCCTCCTCCAGCTGGCCTTGGGAAGCCCCCCCCCCGACAAGGGTAATTTCTACAAGCAGCAGGCCTGGAGGCACTCAGCACTCACTGCCTTGGGCCAGCACAGGGGAAGGAGCTCTCCTGCAGCTCTGTGCCCAGCTGGAGGCCCCGGGGAGCCCTAGGGGGGGGGCCTTAGCCCGTGGGTGGCCATGTCTGCTTGGTTGACGGATGCCTGGGTGTGGGTCGGGGAGGGGGAGGCCCAGGTGGGAAGGGGATGTGTGTGGAGCGGATGTCCCCTGTCCTGAACCTGGGTGTCACTGGGAGGGTAGCACTGGGGAAGCACAACTTTGAAGGCTGAAGGCAACAGGAGGGCTGGTCTCCTTTCTCAAAGAAGGGGCTTCCTAACCCTAACCCTAAAATCCATCCCTGGCAGCAGCAGCTCTAGCTAATGGTCACAGGGGGCAGGGGACAGGGCTAGCATTCCAAGCACAAGGACCTCAGGGACCTTGGCCAGATACCTGGAGGGTGGGGAGGAGGCCCCACCCAGGGAGGGTCTGACATGTGGGGAAAGCCTTTCTTGACCCAGGCAAGGGCAGGGAAGGAGAAGCAAGGTAGGGAACATGGGGAGGCCAAGCCCTGAGAAGCCACTGAGCCAGGCTGCCACGGACCAACGGACAGATGGACAGACAGACAGAGGGGTTGGAATGGGCCCCTCCTCTGTAGGGCCTGCCTGCCTGCCTGCCGGAGGAGGGCTTCTAGACCCAAGTCTCAAACCCAAACACAGAAGTCTTTTAAAGGAGGCAGTTTCTTGTGGGCGTCTGAGGACAAGGGGTTCCTTGAACCTCAGCATGATGAACACAAACGCGTCTCAGTCCATGAAAACCTTCATTTCCAGTTATCACAAACTAGTTTTGTCATTATAACTGGTAAGGGGATTCCTTTTTAGAGTAATCACAATGAAAACAAACATTTCCTATAGATGTTTGAACCCTGGAAACTCTTTCAGGTCCCTTGGAAAGTGCGGACCCCAGGCAGACAATCCTGGCTGTAGCCTCTGATCTGCCAACCTGGGACACATCACTTGGAACCCTCTGCTTCCAGCCAATGTGGCCCTTGTGGGCCAGCTCTCGGCCCAGGGAGAATGGACGGTGCTTAATCAAATAGGGCCTGGGCTGGACCCTGACCCCTGGGAGCCCACGAGCACTTTGTAGCAAGGCAATGCAGCAGGAGCCTGGTGCTCACTCAGTCCAGAGCCTCCTGTCCCTGGGCTTGGGGCCTCTGAGGAGACGTGCCCTGACCTCCTGCCCTTGGTGTGACAGAAGTGGACCACAGCTCTCCCAGCAGGGAGGACATGGCACCAGGGTTAACAGGGCTTCCTTGGAGCTTGGTGGGGGTCCTGAGCCAGCATCCAGGACAAGGGCAGGGATAGGAGTGCCGTGGGAGGGAGGCTGGGAAACCCCTGGGCTGTGCTGGGAAGCACAGGGGTAACCTGGGCTGGAGGTCAGGGCTGGGGAGGCACTTGCCCGCTGGACACTCCCCCACTCACACTCACCTGGGGGCGCCTCCAGCAGGCCTTGGTCAACAGTCCTCAGGCCCCTCCCCACTGAGAACCCAGCATGCAAGTTGGAAATTGTTCTTAGCACCATGGAGAGAGGTGCAGGGCAGGTGTGGCCTTCCCCAGGAGCCCTGTCCATGACCTGGGCTTCCAGCTGGCTCCGAGGAGCTGATGTTAGTGTCCCCCTCTGCCCCCCAGCCCAGAAGCGGTTAGAGAAGAGGCCAGGTGGCCGAGGCTGGAGAGCAGAGCTGTGCAGACGCAGCGCGGGGCTGCAGGGAGAGGCCCTACCATCCGGCTCCTCAACATAAGGCTTGGGTTTCTTTCTCAACTTGGACTTCTTCTTAGTGTTCCTTTCCAG